TTTTTTTTTTTTTTTTTTTTTTTTTTTTTTTTTTTGAAAAAGCTTATAATAATTATTGAATCTCATCATTTCAAAATTCCAACCACTTTCATAATTTATATATTTAAAAAGGCACTTTGAAATTTGCAATAATTATTAATATTTTCAAATAAAATACTTTTAATAATTATTGTGAATATTTTTTAAATTTATTTCATCATTTTATTAAATATTAGAATAGCTAATATTTTCAAGATTATAATTTAAATTTATTCCGGTACTCCTCATTTACTCTGACATCACAATATCATATTTTTTTTCCTTTATTTTTTAATTGTCGGCGTCTATCTTTAACGACTACATTCATATCTTGACAAGTATTTTTTAAGAGGAAAAAGGCGCACAAAAACAATCCGAAGTAAGAAAGGGATGGATTAAAAACAAATTCTATTTCGAATACGACTTGAGCTAACTTTATTTCAACGACCCTATATTTTTATTGAAATAGAGTCACTACTGCATCCATAACATGATTGTTAAGTGTGGAAGTTTCGTTAAAATATTTTTAAAATGATGTTATGGAATTAAACGTTTGTAATAAAAGATTTAAAGCAACACATAAAATAAAAATAAATAAGGTAAAGTTTATAACAAAATAAGAAAAATAGAACAATGGCGTAATCTAGACGGTAGCTTCCTTAACACAGGTTCTATGGCCATTGTCATGACGTTGCCATCATTCGTACAAGGGTGTAACACATGACTTGAGTATTTTAGAAAATAATCTAAGTAACTCACTATTGGAGTAAGAAAAATGTAAACACATGCAACATGATGAGACCTATCCTTTTAACATATCATAGTTTGGAGTTATATAGCTTTCTAGTTCGGGTAAAATTGGATGTGTAGTACTTCTTTACATATGACCTACGCGTGTGAGCATGGGCCCAATAAGTAGGCTCGCACACCTCCTGGACTTGACTCATCGGGCTAGCACTTACTAACAGGCTTTATGTTGAACACCACTGAGGAGAAGGGCCCACATAATATCATGATGAACATAATGTCATAAATCATAAGTCATAATGTACGCGTTCTTACTCATCATAGTGGGGAAGTATCTCGATGCACGTGTCAACAATATGCATGAGGTTCACAACTTATAATCATGACATAATATATGATATAAAACAAACATCGGTTAACTTACTTAATTTCGATACATTCTATAATACATAACATAACTTTCATGACATGCTATAAGAAGATTATGCATAATAAATTAACGATTTCATGACAACTTTATAGAATATGGCATGATCACAAAATAACATAATTTTATTACATGACATGCCTTGGCATAGCATAACATGACATATTATAGCATCGCATAGCATAACATGGCATATCATAGCATCACATGACATAACATGACATAACATATCATGTCATATCTTAGCATCACATGACATAACATAGCATAGGATAACATATTAATCATACATATGCCACTTGCAAGGGTCACGAGGCACGCATCATCATACATAATACAATTCATCCAACTAAGCCAATAGAGGAGCTACTAACTTAGGCATAGAAGAAACTACTACGATTCCTTGATTCTAGCATAACGTCTTTCTCTAAATTTAATTCTATCTAATGAATCTCAAAATCATAAACGAGAGTTCAATTATGAAAATTGGCTCACCTAATTTTGCATAAAACAATTAGAACTTAGACTCTAAATAATTTAAACTAGCTAAAAGAGTCGTACTAAAACACTTACGAAGAATTGAAATTAGTAAAAAGTGGTCCGAGTGTAGCAGATTCAAGTCAAATTAGTCGAAAAGTCAACCTAGAACAGTCAGAAAATATGTTCTCCAACAAGCTTTGAACTACCAAAGTAGTATGAAAGGGAACGATTGTTGTAACTTGAAGACAATTCTAACAAATTGAGATGGAAAAAAAAAAAAAAAAAAATAGCCAAGTTCCAAGTTGACTCTTCCTAAAGAAGTCCTTGTATCTTAGAACAGTCTCGTGATGAACCAATTCATTCTAAATCATTTGGATCAAACTATTTAGAACGATCGACTTTATCGTGAGTTTTAATGTTACGTGTTAAGGTCAAGGACATACTTTTCGCCAACTTTCTGTGTTACGTGATAAATCATAACGTTCTATGTTAAGGTCATGGAATAACATACTTTTCGCCAACTTTATGGAATCTAGACCAAGTAGTTAAATGGGTACTCTAAGAAATCGTTGATTTATCCTCGAGTAGAAGATTAAACACCTTTGAGAATTGGTTTCATAACTAATAAAGAGTTTCAAAATTAAAGGGAGGGTCTACTTAGCAAAGTGAGAGACCTTTAAGATGAAACACAAGCGTATTATTTGATTCAAGTCGTTTATATGAAAGCATGTGACTGTGAGTATCATACACAATAACGTTATTATTTTGGGAACGGGACCAAATATGAATTTTGGAACATGATTGCACAAAATGAAATTCACTCGTTCCTTGTATAGATGAGTAGTTCCTTTTAGTGTTGAGTTTCGGACTTGAATAATAATTGCTCATCCTTTCACTAAGTCAAAATAAACTTAGTTTATGGTCGGATTATAAATAATCCGTTCACCATAGAGTCTGTAACACTTAAAGTATAAGGTGTAGTTATAAAGGTGAAAATGAACTTTTAACCCAATTATAAAGGTCGATTTGAATAAATTGGGTTAACAAATGAAAATTAATTAATTAAGAATTTTAATCTATCAATAAAACCAATTTATACGTGGAATCGATAGTGTATCAAGAAAAATTTTGGTCCCCACGGTCGGTTGAAAGTTAGAACAGTTAATCCCCGTGATTTCTCGTTTTGAAGCCCTTCCATTTAGGGTTTCTCGTCTCTGGTAGAATCGTTCTATTTTATTTGTCTTTAGATTATCATTAGGGGTGTGCAAGAGCCGGGAAAAAATCAAGGATTTAGATGAAACCAATTGAAATAAAAAAGTTTTGATTAAGTTATTTCCTATAAAAGTTAATTCCTTGATTTAAAACTTCAAAAAAATAAAATATTTGATTCAGTTTACGAGTTCCCTAAAGACGTCAAGTATCGCAATGGCATTCTTCGAGAATCATAACGCGATTATTCGACACATATTCTCCCTCTCGACTACGTCAACCAACTAAAATTGAGTCTTCATATGCACAGATGACATATGTTTAAGCCTTTGATTCCGCTCTTGGAAAAACACAATTTTGAAAAATGGGGTCGGAGAAAGTTTTGTAAAAACATTCGAAAACCATTTTGAGAAAGTAATGTTATAACCTAGCAAATAATAGGT